AGCATTAAGATGCCCCCGAGTAATTTATGTCAGCAAAAGTCATGGCTATATTCGATGTGATTGTGTAAATAATTATTTCTTATAATACCTTGCATCATGGGGTCCTACGTACCTTCCCAACATTAATTGCTTAGACTCTAGATTGGGGTCGTCTGCTTTTCCATGGCTCCAAGGAGCCTATTCCCTCGGGATCACTCATTTACTCGGGTATAATATTATTTTCATTCTCGTGTCACTTCTTAATATGAGCACTATTTCATCTCTCATCACTTCTTTTTATTCACGAGAATAATTTCTTAATCGAAACTATTCGACATTTTTGTATAAGCAGTAAAATCGTATTTTTCTTGATAGAACATTCGTTCCCCTACTATAAATTGCTTTTAAGGTAATAATCTCCTAGGTACAAATCTATTGTCTTGCAGTGATTAGAGGGCCTGTTTGAGGGGGAAGCAGCCCTCTTTCTGTGACAGAATTGCAAAGTAGGAAGGGATGGAAGAGTTTGAACGGGCGGATAATTTTACAATTTCCATTGGTTCCGACAGTTAAAAGCCGAATCGTATGGTCCATGTCTTATGCTTGAATGAGCAAAATGACTCCAAATTACATATCGAATTGCATGGTAATAACAGTGTATCCAAACACTATTTTTACCCTTTATTCCGACTAATTAACGAACCATTTTTAGCTTGCGGTGGGCTGAAGAGTTTTGGTCCATGCAGTTTCATTATGTTTGATATCCTGATTACAAGAGCAAATGATTGCTTGTCCTTTCAAGATACACTTCCAGATTGTCAGTGTCCCACATAAATAATTTCCATAATTGTGGGCCAATTTTATACAGTGAAATGATAAAGTTGAGATCACTCATTGAGATCCATCACAACAATTGGACAAAAGTTTTCTGCACACAGCAGTTAATACAAAATAGACTACTTGCTCCCTAATGTACCAAACTGGTGATTTTTAACAGTATATAATGACAATAAATATAGAAACTTCAGTTGCCAAATGGGTGAGTTTAAAAAGTGAGTATATTTTTTAGCATCTTCCTATCCAAAAAAAAAAACAAGTAGCATCTACCTATGTAAGAGAAATATTACGGTAAACAAGATGGTACCGTAATGAAATTTATAATATTTTATAGTCAAGTTACACATTTTTAAAACACTATGTTAGAATGGAAAAAGTCAAAATCGATCTTAAAATATTATGATCGATTATAAAAATTATAATTTTTAAAAATCAACTTACAAATTTTAAAGGTGAAGTTACAACTCTTTAGGTCATATTCATAGTCCATCATGAATTTATTTCAGGCAATTGCAACTTTCAATACGATATTATTTTATTTTTTTTTGGTGATGTAAAATTAACCCCCATACATGGTAGATCCTGGGACATTATATCAGTGACTAGTATATTTTTTTTTTTGATCAAAATCAGTGACTAGTATTAATACCCCTTAAACTATGTAAATTTGTCCGCTAAATTTTACAGAAAAAAAGAAAAGAAAATGTCATTCTATATTTGCCTTTTCCCTCCCCCTGACTAATTTTTTGGATCCATTCTTGAATCTTGATGTTATGTTGTGAACTCAAAAAAGCAAAATAAAATGTCAACATGACTTCGAGGATATTTGTGATGAGGCTTGAGAGAGATCTTTCCGTACCGTCGGCGATATTTTACTAAAAATTATAATTTTTAAAAATTAAGTTTGATAATGTATAAAATAATCTCGTGTAAGATCAGCAATTGAGTGGGTGATAAACTATCATTAATGAGACAATTAATAAAATAATTAATGACAAAAAAATAAATATCAGGTCAACACACAAATATATAGTGATTCGGTTCAGATGACCTACTTTACTCTGAAAAACGATAACGATGACCGAAAAATTTCTATAAATGAATAAAGTAAGAGAGAGAAAGCTCCGGGAGAGATACAATAATTAGAAGAAAGAAGAACTATGTGATGAGTGCATAGAGATGTGTCCTCCCATGTAGAGAAATCATACAATTTATAGGCATGAAGTCTTAATTGAGGTGGTGATGTGAGGGTAAAGGCACTAGTCCTTCGGGAGGACAATTACAATAGGTAAGTGTAATTAAAGTTTGCCTAGATCTTTGAGAGTCGATATCCTGATGATTATTTTCTACGTGAACTAATTTTCTTGAACTCTTAGGACTTTAGATTGGGCCTAATTTATGAATTGGGCTTGACTGTCCTTTTAGCTGACTTGTGCCCATCTCCTTAATTGGGCCTGGACCTAGTTTAATATGAGATTATCAAAGTTGTATCTTTTAAGGAGCATGATTGATTATAGTAGATTGTGATCAATACTAAAATTACAAATTTCAAAAATTAGGTTACAACTTGTAAATGTCAACTTATAACTTATAAAAGAGAGTTACAATTGTTCAATAAAATCCATGATCGATTATGGGTACCTGTAATCGATCATGGGTTTCTATAATTGATCATAACATTTCTTTGAACAATCATAATTTCTCTTTTTTAAAAATGTAACTTTATCATAAAAAATTATAACCGATTGTATGGTCCTAATTTCTTTTGTCTTCGTATCGTATAGTTTTCCATATGTATTTGTCTCTATAAATTCTAGTTATTACTTATCATCAAAGACTACTAGTCATAGAGTTTGAAGGCACAATGCAACAAAAAATCAGTGTCCAAAAAATCAATATCTCTACATCAAATAACAAATTCTTTTCTTCCCTTTTTTTATTACACAATTTAAAATTAATTTCTACTCATTATTTTTTAAAAAAATTGAAATTTTTTTCTCAAAATAGAGGACCTCAAAAAAAAAATATCAATATGTGTATTCAGTCATAAATTAATAAAAAATTAAATAATTTAACTTGAACAAAAAAATAGATTAGGATAAAATTCAAACTCATAACTCCCTTATTATATATACATGATGATAGGTTATTTGTTTCAAATTTAGTATGCTAATTTGGAGACCTAAAATACTTTTATTGTTGGATTAGTTGTTGAATCCATTATATCTAATTAGAATAGTGTATTTAGTCTTCAAATTAAGTTGAATTAATATTTTTAACAGTGTTTTTGATAAGAGTGCCAGCGAGAGGGAGAAAGCTTTCCTTATCCCTTATTTTTAATATTCTGTTTTATCAAATGTTGTCAATATTAAGTTAAAATTGTCATATTACATGTGTTCTTTCTTTAAAACGGAAACTGCCTCAATTGTCATATTACAATCTCAAAATAATAAATTTAATATAGATTCTATTGATGGGAAAAAATGTAAAAATTTTGAGTAGAACCTTTAGCATAGCATAGCATAGTTTTCTTTCATCTTCAAATTCTCACACACCATAATTTGCAGATTATATACTTGCCGGCTCGTTAATCTATCCCCAAGACTATACTGGTCGGAAGACAATAAATTTTTTTTTTTTTTTAATAATGGTCGAAAGATCTTTCAATTTTTTATATTATTGTACTCTGTCCACAATTTAATGTTTACTCAAAAAAAATAGAAGAATATGTTTAATAAAAATTATATGCAGTCCCTTTAATTTTGGAAAACTTATACGCAGTCCCTGTATATATTTAAAATGACACAAATACCCTCTAAATTTTGAGTGTTTAACGTGAACACTCTTTCCAAAATTGGCAGGGAGAAAAGACCATTTAGTTCTAAATTTCACGAGCACCTTTATTTTTGTTGATTTTTCGCTTTCTTTATATCCAGTAAAAAACACAGTAATTTCGTCAATAGGATATAGGAAAATACTAAGGACTAGTTTAATAGGCGTATTATAAGAGGATTAAATATTGAATTATATTATTTTTTATTTAATCGGGTCTAATACGTTGTTTGGTAAGTAAATTTGATACCGTATTGATTTTAAAAATATATACTAATCGTATACTTATCATATATTTTTTTATATAATAGATCTGTATTATGGAGGTGAGATGGTATTATAATCCAACTCAAACGTATTATTCTACACATTTACTATTATAACCCCCTAAGTGATAAAATCAAGTTGTCATCAATGTAATAAACACTAATTGAGGGTATCTTTGTTAATTCAACATTAATACGATGAAATAATTCTCTAACCAAACAATCGATTGAATTAAATAACGACTATCCAACGCTTATATTGTGTATTGTCAAACACTAGATAAAATTACATATTATTCTAATATCATATTTAATCATGTATTTAATAAATCCATATTGTATTAGACTGTATTATTTTATTTAATTCATCTATATTTAATACATCAATCAAACGAGCCATAAATATTTAGTGTTATGTATACTATTAATACAAAAAAAGAGGAGATCTAATGTCCACTATTAAAATGTCTATGATACCATTTATTTTCTCTCAAATAACTATCCATAACTCACCCGCCTCAATTATTAAAGAGTAATAATATTGAAACTTAAATTGTTATGATTTTTGAATTGACAGTGAACTCTATCAAATATTAGAACTTTATCTTAATCTAATGATTCTAATAAAATCACATTATTAGATCAAATTAAATCAAATTTTTAGGTTTAAATAGAATTACATATTACTAAAATGTCGATATAACACTTCACTGTTAAATATAACTCTCATAAGAATTTAGTGATTGCCTCCCAACATTCACTTCATACCAAGAATCTGGACATCCAGCTGCCACGTGGCAACAACCTCAATGCCTCTCACTTTCGTTATTACTGTATATTTTATTTTTGAGTCTCAACCTTATCCCTTCCCATGTTGAGCTGTTAGCTTACAATTACACACCACACGTGAAGTGCAAAATCGTCATTACACAATATTCATACTATAAAATCCCTACCAAGCTCACTCTTCAACCTACATGAGTGACAATACAGTTCATTACACTCCAGTCTCCGCATGCATGCTCTCTTTGAGAGAGAAAGCTCCGAGTTTTAGAGAGACACAGATATATATATATATATATAGAGAGAGAGAGAGAGAGAGAGAGAATGGCTACCTTCTTCTCCATTACAGCTATACTCGGAATAGTTCTCCTTGCCGTTACTTCTGCCGTTAACTCCTGCCCGCCGTCAGATAGGGCAGCTCTTCTGGCCTTCAAAGCAGCTCTGCAGGAACCCTACTTGGGCATCTTCAACTCATGGACGGGCATCGACTGTTGCCACAACTGGTACGGCGTTAGTTGCGACCCAATGACTCGCCGAGTCGCCGACATCACTCTCCGGGGTGAATCCGAAGACCCCATCTTCGAAAAAGCACACCGGGCCGGTTACATGACCGGCTATATCTCTCCGGCGATCTGTAAACTGACCCGTCTCTCAAGCATCATCATCGCCGACTGGAAGGGAATCTCCGGGACTATTCCACCTTGCATTACAAGCTTACCATTTCTCCGAATCTTTGACTTGATCGGAAACAAAATCTCCGGCGAAATCCCATCCGATATCGGCCGACTGAGTCGACTTACTGTGCTGAACCTTGCCGACAATTACATTTCCGGTACAATCCCACGTTCATTAACTAACCTCTCTTCGTTAATGCACTTAGATCTCCGAAACAACCGAATCTCTGGCACACTTCCACGAAATTTCGGGAAGCTTCGAATGCTGAGTCGGGCTTTACTGAGTCGAAACCAGCTTAACGGAGAGATACCCAGTTCAATATCTTACATATATCGCCTTTCCGATTTGGATCTCTCTCTGAATCAACTTTCCGGCGAAATTCCGGCTTCTCTGGGTAAAATGGCTGTTCTCGCTACGTTAAATCTTGACGGTAACAAAATTTCCGGTTCTATTCCTCCGTCATTGATTGATTCGACGATTAGTATACTGAATCTGAGTCGAAATGGGATTGAAGGTGTTATACCAGATGTTTTCGGGCCGAAATCGTATTTTATGGTGATGGATTTGTCGTATAATAGTTTGAGAGGACAGTTACCCAAGACAACCTCGTTGGCGTCGTTTATCGGCCACCTTGATGTGAGCCACAACCACCTCTGTGGACCGATTCCGGTTGGTTCGCCATTCGATCATCTTGAGGCGTCGTCGTTTGTTTACAATGACTGTCTTTGTGGGAAGCCACTCAGCGCTTGTTAGACTATTATAGGCTTCGAGCTGATCAAAGTATGGATTGAGAAAATTACACTTAATCCCCCTCAATGATATCCCTTGTTCCACATGTTCCCTAAAGTATCAAAATTTTCATATTGCATCTTAAATTATTGCTCTGAGTTTTACGTTGCCCAAAATTGTTATTTTTGGTCTAATTTTTCAAGGCAAATCAGGACAAAAATAATTTTTGTCCCCTTTGAACGAGAAAAAAATCACATCGTTTAATTGATTTTTAACTCTGATTTGCCATAAAAAAAAAAGAACCGAAGTCAATGATTAAAACTGATGGTGCAGACTAATATGAGTGACCAGAGTACGTGAGACCAACGGTGAATTTAAGCTGCCAATTTCATAATGGTAGTGATGAAGTGTTTCTTAGAGGATAGATGAATTTGCACAGTAGGAATATAGTGATTCACCGTCTCTGGAGCTCGACTAATCCACTCTCTGATGGAGGCTGTTGCTCCTTTTTTCTCTATTGACTATTTGAATGTATTACAATACAATGCATGATCTAATTCGGGTTCTTCCTTTTCCCCTCTCGATGAGGCGTTACATAGTATTTATAAGGCTACTCCCTATTATGTGAGATTTCAGCCGAGATCTGTGTCAATTATTCATGGGATCCTCCTTGATTTTAGGACAGAATCTCGATTGGTTGAGAGTTTCATGCATTGAGCTCAATTTTCGGAGTCATCTAGCTGTTTCCTGGTTAGTTCTGTCACTATCTCACCAAAGGGAGCTCTACCCCTGGTTCTCTGAGCTCCCCATGTCTTTCCTGACCTCCTAATCTGAGCTCACAGCTAGGGCTTGTTTGAGATATCAGTTGCCCTCTAGCCCCTGATTCAAGCAGGCTTGGGCAGGGGGTTGAGCTGTTTTTTAAACCGAACTGGATCTGCACGTGGCTGAACTTGGCTTGCACGTGAGTGAGGCCTTTTTGATGATTTTTAGCAATCATGGCTTCCTCATTTATCGTGCACGTCCCAGCCCACGTCTCTCAAGCTTTAAATGGTCAAATGGCTATCTAAATCGCCCTATTCCACTGGTCAACTTCTTTACTGCTTCTCTCTTCTTGTGATTTCCTGGCTTTCTAGTTTGGAGTTCTTTGATTCCTCGTTCAAGATCGAGTTTTGTGGGTTCGATTTGAAGATTCACATTGCCCTTTTTCTTCCATTTCACTCTAGGTTGTTGTTCGTTGCTCTTTCCTACCTAGCTACGCCCTTTTGTCCCTTTTTCACCTTTTCTCGTTCTGGATCCCTCCAATTCGAGGTGGCCATTGCATTTCTGGGCTTTTCAGATCTTCTACTTTTGAAACCAAAATTACTGCTTGTCTCTTCTCCCCCACTTCGTGGACTGGTCTTCTATCGTGCGAATCCTTATTGTTGGAAGCTACTGCGTTGATCCTAGGGTTATCAGGGAGTGCTTAATTAGTATTCCTCCTCTCTATCGTTCTTTCAATTTGCCTTTCTCTTGTCCAGTCATGTTTACTCCTTCCAGAGCTACTTGTTCCTCTACTTCCCTCTTGGGGAAAATGTCTGCCAAAGAGGACACTGATTTAGGGGATGTGGGCAAGGAAATCAACAATTTTCCCAGGGTTGATACTGTCGATGCCGAGGAGAATGCTGAGGAACTACCCCCGTCGTCTTTTTTTATGCCCCCTATTCCTGACAAGGTAAGGGCAAGGTGAGTGGGGTAGGAGTCTCTGATAGTGCAATGAGCACAAGGGCTACCTTTAGGCATGTTGAGTTCGTATGACCCAGTGAGGTTAACTCTTTTCTTATGAAAATTCTCAGTGCTCGTTACAGCTTTTCTTCTGGTGTCCAGATAAATACACCTCATATGTTGTTCAAGTTCATAAGAAAGTCTGTTTCTTTGTGGCCGCTTTTGAGAATGATCTTCGTTTCCCTATGCATCCCTTCATTAAGAGTATTTTGCAACACTTCAACGTCTGTCTTGCTCAATTTTTCCCTAATTTCTAGGGTGTACTTATGGGTCTTCTTATTTTATTTAAGATACATGGGCTCGGGGTCCCCAGTCTTTCCTTGCTTGTGGATCTTTTTAATATCAAGCTCACCTCATCAGAGGGTTTCCTATACATCTCCAAGCGAACAACGGCTAGGCAGATCATTACTCACCTCCCGAGCTCTCATAAGGGTTGGAAGAAATAATTCTTTTTCGTTGGGGGTACCAATTAGGAGTATAACCTTGCTGACAGGATTGATACTTTGGGTATCTCTAGAACTTGGTCTGCCCCTGATAACATAGGTGAGCCCTTGCTCGAACTGATTGAGCTCTGGTTTGGAAATTATTGAGTTGCTTTTTTGACCTTTGCTCTCCTTGTGTTGTTCATTAGGCATTTGACCAGAGCTCAGTGCTGAGGATGAGAGGGTGAAGCAAAAGTTGGAGAAGTGTAATTCAGAGAAGTACTTCGAGCTCATCAAGCCCTGGGTCTTAGTAACACAAGGATTTAGTCCTCCTGCGGTATCGATAGAAGCTCCGCTCCCTATCTCAGTTGTTAGACCTAAAGACATAGAAGGTAACACTTTTTGAGTTGGTTCCTTTGCCTTCCCTTCTTTTTTCTCTCTCCTATTTAAATTTATTGGTTCAGATCTCCTAGGCTCCTCCATAATGAAATCTACCCCTGAGGAATTTCAGGCTAAGGTTGACCTACTGAAGAAGGGTAGGAAAAGTGGCAAACGGAAGGCTGAGACCTGCTCTAGAGGCAGCCCCATTGATAGAGCAAATTGCAAAAGCTGGGAGTGCCCTCTTCTCTTGCCTTGAACAAGGGAGGACAGACTCCCTCATCTCAATCCCTGGCCCCTTCTCCTCTTCAAGGGGCCCAGTTTGCCCCCTAAAAGGCTTTTGAGTCAGGGCTGGCTTCCCCCACCTCTTATGAAGTTGAGGGAGTATTGGGGCTGATTACTGGAATTAAGCCACACTTTGCACCCCCCAGACCACCTGAGCAACCATCTCAGATGCCTCTTTGGAGTCCCAAAGTTGAAAAGAGGGAGGGCCATGAGACTAATGAAGACTCCTTCTTCGATAACGCCGAGTTGGCTGTTGGGGCCATTTCATCTATTCTCCCTGAATCCGATATTCGAAGGGCTTCTACCATGCCCCCTGAGGCCTCTTTCTGCTTAGCTCTCCAAGGGGCAGCCATTGTAAGTATTTTTAAACTCACTCTTAGCTCAGCGCGGTTGAATTGTGCTGATCTATATCTGTTTCTTTTTTATCCACAGATGACTCTTCATTTGAAGAACTTGATGGGCAGGGTCCGATCTTCGGAGGACTCTGCCAAAGCTTTGAAGACACACGAGTTTAAGGTCACTGAGCTGACCTTTGACAATGAGAGCCTCAAACTCAGGTGCAAAAGCTCGAGGAGCAAATGGAGATGCAGACCTCTAACTACGAAGGCCTTCAAGCTGTTAAGGATAGGGTTAAAGAAAGAGAGAAGAAGGTCAGAGATGAGTTGAAGATGAACAGGGAAGAGCTGCTACTCAAAACCAATGCCTGGACCAAAGTTAGCCAAAAAGCCTTTGATACTCGGGGCTCCCTCGAGAGCCTTATAAAGGAGTATGTTACCCTGACTGAGGTGAATGAGAGCTTATGTGGTGAGCTTGAGGTGCAGAGGACAACTGTCAAGGAGAGAGATGACATAATAGTCGAGCTAAAGGATGATGTCACCACCAAGTGGGCCTCAAGATGGCTGGCCTTTCAGGGCAAAGCGGAGAAGGCCTATCTAGACCTCGACTTCGACTTTGTTATCCCTACTAAGGAGGAGTTGGAAGAGGCTGACTCAGAGGATGATGATAACCCCTTGGCTCCTGTCGTTTCTGCTGGGGCTCCAGAAGGCACTAAAATGTTCTCTCCTGCAGCTGCTCTTACTAATATTTCCCTTTCTGCTGACCTCGTGACCAAGGCCCTTGCCCAAGATTCACCAATAGCTAGAGTGGAGGCTCTTAGGACCAGCAACCCTGAGAATTTTGCTCCTCTGCCATCTGAGCCCTTATCTTTTGAGCTGCCGAGCTTCCTCCCTGTTACTAAAACTTCATCTGCTGATCCGCGAGACCATTCATTTACTCCGTCTTCAGAAACTTTTGTTTTAAACAACTCGAATTCTTGGATCGTAACTTCTATTTTTGTACATTTGATTCATGATTTTTTCTGAACTGTTGTTGTAATGTTGGTGCCAATGTTCAGTGTTTTTGAATGTAAGCTCTGATTTCATGCTTTGAAATATAATCCTTATTTTGAAAAGTTGCACACCATTCTTTCAGCTTGTCTGAGTTATAATTGTGATACTGGCACACATTTAGGACTCAAAGATCAGAAAACTTATGCAGAGATACAAGTAGACCTCGAAGTAGACCTCAATCCCAAAGGGAGTATTGGATGACGGACTTGACATTCCTTACAGTGACAAGAGGTTTGCTGGATTTGAGAAAGAGAATAAATAACTTGACGCTGAGGTCCATCACAAGTACCTTTATGGAGGCCATGTTGCTACATACATGAGAACTTTGTTGGAAGAAGAGCTTTTCTAGAAGTCTAACCTGAGGTTCACATAAGGCTTTTTTGAGGAGATGTATCAGAAGGTCCGTGCAACCATATGAGCTGACCTCTCTAGAAAGGCATCTTACCTACCCAGTCAGGGGTTAAGTTCTGCCTTATTTCTCAAATTGTGCTGCACCTTATGCTGTGTGTGTGTGTGTATTTTTTTTTTAAATTGCTTTCTAACATAATCTAACTTGCTTTGTAATGCAGTCTACTCTACTTTAACACAATAATACAATCCAACTTGTTCTTCAATGCGGTCTACTCTCATTATTCTATGGTTAACTGCTCGCGTACTACTCTGTACTCCCCTTGCCTCCCTTGCTTTGAGGGGAACTAAGTTCCTCTAAAAGCAAATTTATTGGAACTGAAAGTCTACTGGCTTCCTGAGCTCCTTCGAGAAGGAAGGAATTAAGATCTGACTTTAGGAGATTACTATGCTTGTGTTTGGTCGAAGAGAGTATGCTGCTTGTTTGAAGAGTTGAGAACTGCCTTGGAAGGTCCATATAGCTATACGAGCTACACTTAGCTCAGAAATACCCGAATGTTTGGGATCTCAGAGAGTCTTCCAAG